AGGAGCTTTAGCCAGCTGATACCAGAGCCAGCATGCTGCCCATGGCCACAGCCCAGCTAGAGCCTTTGTGCGACTCGACTCTCCCTTTGCTATTTCCCTTTTTAGTGCTAAGGAAAGGGAAGAGAGATCCCCTCCCCCACTTGAGGCTTACAGAGTTGGAAGAACTTTCATTTTCTCAGTACTTTAACACCCCTGCCACACATTCCATCCCCCAAGGAGAAGCCTCTGAGTAAATGTGCCATGACAAGCACAGCTTGGGGTTGACTTAACCGCTGTACGGAGGCCGAGATGGTTTTCACACCTCTCTCAAAGTGAGCACACCCTGGCACGGCTTAGGTTTCCGAATCTTCATTTGAAGTGGGGAGTTCTGTCAGCAAGAACAAACATATGGGTTGCAGTGCACGTCAACCAGCTTGAGAACTCGGCAGTGGAAGTTCTTCATGCATGAGCTCTCTGCCAGAGCACCAGCAGCCCTAGGCCTGCAGCCAGGAGGAGGCAGCTTGCTGAATTCTTGCAGAAGTCTTTCCGCTGTGTCCTGTTGAACCTCCATGCTGCAGAGAGTGTCTTATCGCCCCATATCCCTTTCTTCTGCAGAACTCCCGGGTTTGTGGGGCAAGCAGAATTTGCTGGTGGAGTTGTAGACAACACTTGAGGACATGGCTTGTTTCATCTGCACTCAGTTAGGCTTTTTCTCTCTTGATGAAGATTACTGCGTTGGAGTGAACATTACTTGGCTCACTAGCCAGTGGAGTCATGGAAACTCCCTGTTGGGCACATTATGGGAAGTTAGGTGCAAAGTTATTTATATTGCCTGCCCATGGAGTAGATCCACGTGAGTCTCTTAGTGTATGAGAAGCATAAGTCCAGAGGTTCCTAGGTTATTATGGGATCAGTGACCTCGAGTTTGTGAAATTAAACAAAAGGATCTAAAGAATTGTAGCTCAGTTTCTAGAAGTTGAAGAGCACCTATACCCTGTTCGTCCCTCTCTGACAGACACTTCCTGTAAGGTCTTTGTGTGCTTGGTTGAACCGGCCATTTCTTCTGCGGTTTTGAGGCTGTTCTCTTGGCAGGGATAATGCCTGGTCTGACGTGCACCTCCTTGAAACCAAGGAATTAAGGTGATTATAAGTTAGCACACCTTCCTCGTCGTCACCAACCCACCTAACACAGCCAGGCAGGTTTGCTGGCAGATCTGTGACTGAGAACATAAGCTTTGGCCAGGCTTTTGGATTTCCAGTCTTTAAGCCTTATTTTTTCCCCCCTGGACAAGGACAATGCTGAGGCCCAGCATGGGGTCTGATCCCTGCTGGGGCTCTTGTCCTGAGCACTGCTGGTCTTGGCACCCCTCAGGATCACTCTTCTCTCTTAACAGCTTCCAGACCCTTCTTTCCGCTAACCTGGAGACTGGAAATCATGGGCCTCTGCATTCTGCTCCCGTAAAAGCCTTTACCCTCCTGCTGTTCATGGGAGGATGAGTTAATGCAGAGTGCTCAGCCACCCGCAAGGGTCTCTGAGTTACGGTGTTTGGGTATCAGTATGATGTTCCCCGAGCATGCAACCGTGTTGCTTCTCCTGGGGGAGGTGGTTGCCTTTAATTAAAGCCATAGTTAACTTATAATTATTCAAAGATAATTACAGAGTGAGAATCATGAAGACCTTCACTGCCGCCTCAAAAAATCCCCTCGCTTAAAGATACTGCCAGGCTGTGCAGGACAGTAGTGGCCCAAGTCTTTAATCCCAGCACTCGGGGAGGCAGAGCAGGTGGTTCTCTGTGAATTCACGGCCAGCTGATCTATAGAACTAGGTCATAGAACTAGGTCCGGGACAGCCAGGGCTACACAGAGAAACCCTGTGCACATATTCTCTCTCTCTCTCTCTCTCTCTCTCTCTCTCCCCCCCCCCTTTCTCCCTCCCTCTCCTTCCACCCGCCAGGCCGGTGAGATGGTTCAGCAGGTAAAGTGAATTGTGTGCAAGTCTGGAACCCAGAATTCAAGTCCTAGAACACACATAAGAACGGAAGGCGAGAAGCAAAGCCATTAGAGTAGTCAGTATGTGACAGCCACATGTGTATGCGTGCATGAACAAAGACATACCAATGACCGTAGTAACAGTAAGAAAGGATATTGCCCAATGGCTGTACCGCCAGCGAAAGCTTGAGCTTATTTAATTCCTGGAACTCACAAATGAGGAGACACTCCGAGGCTGTGGCCTGCCCCGTACGCACACTGAAACGTGTCTGGCCTGTATACTGTACACATCTGTATGCACACACAGCAACTCTTCCGTTTCCCCTGCCCTGCCCTGTACTTGGTTTGAAACAGTCTGCAAAGGTTCCACTCGTGGTCTGGATGATGGCACTGCTTAGTTTGGAAGTTCGCCTTATCCCTCATGTCAAAGGGACTACGAAAAACATATTTCTGTTTAGTTGTACTGGCCTCAGGGGAAACAATATTTCTGGAAGAAATGGATTGCCCAGGGCCCTTTCAGAAACAACCCTTGAGCTACTGCAGATTTGTGACAAGTCAATACCGAAGTGAACCAGAAGTCGGCAATGCTGTTAGCTGCATAGAGAAAAAAGCCAGCCTAGAGCGGGTCACTGACCTTCCCTGAGTACCTCTGTAACTGGTTCTTTTGCCCTCTGCCTTGTCCGGGAACCTTGGCAAAAGAGCCCACAGACAGTGTGGGTGAGTCTCCCAGTCTGGACTCAGACCCCCCCCCAACAGACAGTCATGACTGCTTCTACTCACCTCACTCACTACTTCTGAGATTTTCAGCTGAACAGTGGCAGTGAGTTAAATTCAAAGTCTTTGATGTTGCTTTATAATGCATGGTTCTAGCCAGGCTTTTGCCTTAAATCTCAGTCCCAGGGAGGTAGAGGTGGGTACACTGTAGTTTTAGATTGACTTATTTTCTCAAACTGTTTTTGTATATTTTTTCCAGTGTTAAATATAAGAAAAAATGTTGCCAAGGAAGTAAAAAAAGAGAAGATACTGGTCTGAGTGTTGGTGTCAGGGGAGGCAAAGGCAGGCATAACTCTGAGTTCAAAGCCAGACTGGCTTACAGAATTAGTTCTGGGACAGCCAGGGCTACACAGAGAAACCCTGTCCCGAAAAACCTGAATACATTCGTACGTACTACTGCTGGTGTTAATGGCTGTGCTTTAATATAGAATATTTGATTGGCGTCCATGCAGTACCACATTTAAGTACCAGGAGAGAGTCACGGTGGTCTTCTGCTCTAATGGAACCCTGTTCTAGGGGGGATGTGAAAGAAGCAGTGGCCAGCTGACGCGTTGGGCAGGCACATAGTTGGTGGACTTGAGGGACATCTTTAAAGTGGGTGACATTTGCATTCATCAAAATCTGTCAGAAATTGAAAGTTAGGGGTGCGGGTATGTGGTTAAGATCGGGGGGGGGCTGCAGAGGAGGTAGAGGGAGAGAGAGGTCAGAGGTTTGTGGTTGGCATGGAAGCAGATCCACTCCTAGGCCATGGCCTGGTGTGACAGAGTTTGGGGTGATTTGTAGGGTGGCCCTGTAGGGCAGCACGAAAGCCAGTCCTGGAAGAGTGGTTTTCTTTCAGTAGAGGGGGTCTCAGTGCGGGTTAGCAGAAGGGACTGACTCTTACTTAGGTGTTCTTGGGCAGTGGGGAATGGCCAAGTGCTTGTAACAGACCTGCAGGGCATTGTCAGGGAATTCTAATGCCAAAGTCAAGATTTGGTGGTTACTCTGTAGTCTACGGAGCCATCAAATGATTATCATTTTGGATATGGAGGGTGACATAAGAATCAGGACCGTAGACTCAGTCAGTAAAGGAAGGCTGAGTTAGAAGATTAAGTTGGGGGAGACATGGAGAGCAGGAGGCTCCGTCACAAGACTGGAAGCATGGGAGAGCATTGGAAGGGGCATTTGACGTCAGCTAGAACCAGGGAAGGCAGATAGACGCAGCCAAGGCAATCAAATGTTTGCTTTTGCTCAGATAGTTCAGATAGGGAAGTCTTAGCAGATCCCCTGAAGCAGGTCAAGGAGACAAAGTCTTTTTATATTTCTTTTATTCCCCATTATTCAATGTAGATCACAAAAGGGAGGTCTGGAGAAGGCAGGCAGTGGGCAGACCTGTTTGGGGCTTCTATGGAGCTGAAATCGACTTGCTTTCAGTGAGTCCGCCTCCGGTTTGCCTGTCAGTGAGTCCATTTTAACCAGGCATCTATAGCTGGATTCTTCATCCTTGCCATTTGAAATGAGCACAAATCATCTTTCTGAGTTTATATGCTAAGATGCCCCCAGAGTAGACCAAAAATCTTTTATTGAATTTTCTCTATAGACAAGGACGGCCTTGAACCTCTGGCAATCCCCCTGTTTCTCCTTCTCAGTACTGGTGTGAGCCACTGGCCCAGTCGAACTTGTGCTCTTCCCCTCCCCCACCCCCTTCTCCCTCCCTCCTTGTGTTTATTTTTAATTTTAAGAAGATTTGTTTATTATGTATACAGTGTTCTGTCTGCATGTATGCCTGACAGACAGGAGAGGGCACCAGATCTCATTATAGATGGCTGTGAGCCACCATGTAGTTGCTGGGAATTGAACTCAGGACCTCTTTAAGAGCAGTCAGGGCTCTTAACCTCGGAGCCATCGCTCCAGTCCCGCTTTTTATTTTGAAGTGTGTGCCAGCATGTTCGTGGGTGTGCAAGGGCTGCATGCGCAACCACAGGTGCTCACAGAGCCCAGAAGAGGTGTTAATTTTTTGGAGATGGACTCGCAGGCAGCTGTGAGCTATAGACCCACAGATGTAGGTCCCAGGAATGGAACTCAGGTCCAGTGCAAGAGCAGTGTGCGCTCCTAACTGCAAGGTCATCCTGCAATCCCAGGTGTGCCTTCTTTAGTGACCCCCCTGCCACCACATCTTCTTGGGCCTATTCTTGCTCCTGCCACACCCATGTGTGCTCAACGAGACTCAGATACTGATAGTTTTTGTTGTTGTTGTTCTTTTGTGGCATTTGGAAAAGCTTGTACAATGAAGATAGAAACCTGCTTCGGATTCGAGAGAAGGAGAGACGCAATCAAGAGGCTCACCAAGAGAAAGAGGTGTTTGCTGAGAAGACGCCGCTGTTTGGAGAGCCCTACAAGGTATTCCCTGGGTGTGAGAGGGAGAAAGGCTGGCCTATCATAACATAAAACTCAACGATAAAGCTATTCAGCGCCACCGAGTTCAATCAGGGGTCATAACTAAGAAAATAACTTATCCCAGAGGTTGTTTTTGAAAACAAAATCTGAACTCTTTGAACATGGTTAGTCAGAATTACCAAAGTGTGTGGTTTTCTTTTGTAATGTTAGTCTCCTGTAATTAGTAATGTGTGTCCGCGGCAGGCTTCTCGGCGGGGGACATCGTTAACATGGCGTTACACGTTAAGTAGAGAGGGTTTCTTCTTACTGCGATTGCAGAATAGTTTATTAAGTGGTTGCTCTGCGTGGATTTGTTTCCGCAGTCTGAGCCCGCTGTCTTTCTGTTTGTAGACGGCTAAAGGCGATGAGCTGTCGAGTCGCATACAGAACATGCTAGGCGACTATGAAAAGATGAAGGAGTTCCTGAGCACCAAGTCTTGCCCTCAGCGACTCGAGGGCGCAGAAGACAGGCCTGGGAAGCCCAGATACCCTTCGCTTCATGACAGGGGGAGCAACCTTGCCTCCCACTCCTTCCGCACACATGTCTACCACCAGCCTATTCCTACTTCTGCCCCTGGATCACTTTCTGTCGGTAACATTAGCCACAGTCCAAAGATGGCGCCGCCAAGGATGGAGCCAGTGCCAAGTCTCCATGCCAAAAGCTATGGCCCGCCCGACAGCCAGCGTCTGACTCAAGATCGCCTCAGTCAGGAAGGGCACTGTTCCAGCCACAGAAAGTGTGACCGCAGAGCTGATGGTGACTCAGCTCCGGAGATGAAGCTCTCACCCTTAATCTCCTCTTTGCCATCCCCTGTGCCCCCTTTGTCACCTGTACATTCCAGACTGCAAGGACCCAGCAAGGTTCCCGGCAGCAGTAGCACTAGCAGTAAGAGCTACTGTGCAGCCGTGTCTTCCAAGGACCTGGTGGCGAAGGGTCAGGACAACGAGACTCCTCTTGACAGTTTGGTGGCAGTTACCAGCCTCGGGGTAGCCCCTTCTCAGACGTTCCCACCCCCTCCTCTCCCCTCCAAAAGTGTTGCAATGCAGCAGAAGCCCACGGCATATGTCCGGCCCATGGACGGCCAGGATCAGGCTCCTAGTGAGTCCCCGGAGCTGAAGCCACCGCTGGAAGACTATGGTCAGCAGAGCTTTGAAAAGCCAGATGTAAAGGTACCTGCCAAGGCCAAGCTCACCAGACTGAGGATGCCTTCGCAGTCGGTGGAGGTGAGTGGCGTTCCTTGGAACGTTTCCAGTCAGAGGAGTCTTGAGGTTCAGGCCTTTGGGGGATGGGAGGAGTGAGGTGACGGGGGGGGGGGGGGCCCTGGGGCGGGGTACATGGGGCATTCTTTTGGCTTTAGGAGTTTCTCAGTCCACAAGATCTGAGTAGATCTCACACGATTGATAGTAGATACCGGAATTCAAACTTTGTTTTTAAGACACCCGTCTCATTGTTCAGACCTGAGAGCCTCCTGCCTCAGCTCCTCCCCCAGCGCTTCAACAGGGCACCTTGTTCAGCCTGCAGCTGCAGGCTGTCTTAAAGACGCCTCCCTGAGTCACGGGGTATAGCGTGGAGCCCATGAGTCGCATCAGAGGGTACCCGTGTGTGTCCCACGACCCAGATGCACGGCATTTCTGATTCCGGATAGTTTGGATCTGCCCCTCCTGTCGTGTTGGCTCCTTACCAGTTTGAAAGAAAACACAAACAAAAGCGCACATATTAGGACTAAAACTTCTTGGTCCCTGCCAGTGTTCTCTAAGGCAAGTAAAATCAAAATAGTGAGATGGTGAAGTTTAAAAAAGAAAAGCATCAGGTTTTTAAAAGTTAACTACCTTTATTTATTGAGTGTGTGAGTGTGTTGGTGTGAGTGTGTTGCGTTGGAGTGTGTGAATGTGTTAGTATGTTGAGTTTGTTGCATATGTGTTTGCCTGCACACTTGTGATAGCTGGACCCTTGCCTCCACCGTGTAGGTTTTGGGAACTGAACATTTGGGTTTGGTGGCAAGTGCAGGGTGATTCTCTCCACCACGTGCATCTGGGATCGGCTGTCCCTCTGGGCAGCTGTCACCTCTGCCCACTGAGCCCTGTCATCAGCCCCCTACCTTTCTCTCAAGGCTGAGTTCCGCTCTCAGCCTAGCCAGCCCCCCCCCCCCCCATCATGTGGATGCCACATCCGCAGGCACACAGAACTCACAAGAATTTCTTGAGTACACTGACACAGTGTAGCTAAAGTCTTGTTCAGGCTTTCACAGAAATTCTAGACATTATCCAATACAAGCCTATTTTATTAGTGAATATTGTTCTTTTGTGAATTCCTCAATAAGTGAATAATGAATTTCAGCCGTGGGGTTTGGCCCTGCACACTCATCTCCCAGGCTGCTCCACACTGCTGGGCCTTTTCCTCGGTCTCCTGGAGCTAAGGCTAGCCACCACCCCACTTCTCACTCCGTCTTACCTTTATTTTTTTTTTTTTTCTCCTAAAACCTCTAGCCCGGAAATTACTTTCACTAATACCTAAAGTGCTTCAATATCCAGCTCTAGAAAGAAAGCGTGCAGGGCCTGGTCTGATGGTACTCGCCTTTCTCTTCACTCGGGAGGCAGAGAGGCAGGCGGAGAACTATGAGCTTTCTGACCAGTGATGGGAATTCCGGAGGAGGCTGCACGTGGGTCTGGGTTTTCGGTGTTGGTGACTGAGAAGCTGGGCTGTAGATGGTAAAGCCAGAGAGTCCCTCAGCGACTCGATGACCTGCCAGACGTGAAAGGCAAGACGTTAGAAACATTTTGTTAAGAATGCCCAGATTAACTGATAGGAAAATAATTCTTTCCAATGCTCACAAGTTCTCAGGCATGAAAAAATGTTGGAAATGACTTAGAGAATTTTAATGATACAGCAGGATTCTGGAAACCAGCAGACAAAATTCTTCTAAAATACAACAGCAAGTGTCTGCTTTAGGCAGTATGTCAAATGCCGATGCTGTTCACAGCCTCCAAACATGAAAAAGTAAATAAATAAAAATTAACTACCATTTTGACTAGTGCGCTTTGTAAACACATATTGAAGTGTCAGCTGTTCACAGATGCGTAGCTGCTACTCTTTAATCAGCTTTTTAAATATTTAAGGAAATGGAAGTACTAGCTACTGATTTGCCAACACGGATAGATATGGCAGGTTTTGAACTACCACACTGTATCCTATACGTATGGATAATTACGGATATAAAAAATAAAAGTGAACTCTAAGGAAAACCCACAGGCTTGAGACTCTTAAGAATGAGTAATGAGTGTCAGAAGCATAGGTATCACAGATTGCTCTTTTCTTAATTCATACTTTCAATCCTAAACTCTGAACTATGCCCATTGTGAACTCTTAGAACTGTTATTTATAAATTAGAATTAAAGAGCAAACCGAGGTAATTTGTCTAAAGGAGAGAGCTAGGAATATGACCTCTAATTACTTAAATACTAAGGCCCCTAGATTAAAACATTAAACTTAAATCCTTCAGTCCAGTGGATTAAGGCGATTAGCTGGAGCTTGACAAATTACCATGGGCTAAAGGGGGACGTACGTGCAGGCTGAAAGTAGGCCATGCATAAACAGAAGATGAAGTTCAAGAGAAAAGGCCTGGTTTGTTTGGAGCCTGGACCGCTGTGGGGGAGGGGAGGGCTGTGCTTTGTCAATCTAATGATTTTAACAGCTAAAAATAACAAAATCAGTGTAAAAATAGCTGATTATGGTGTTCCTGGAGAATATGAACAAGCAGCAAATTTAAACTTGGAAAATAGTGATTTTTTTCCCCCTGAAAGTTGTAGCTCTTGCCTACTGGGAAGGAGAAATGCAAGGCCAAAAAGTAAGTTTGCTCTGCCCTCCAGGCCCTTTCCTAGGAAGAGTTCTGTACAGATATCTGAGTTCTGCTCATCACACCCAGTCGGCCCAAACCACAACCACTCGTCCGGCCATCTTACCTGGCTTTCTGTCCTTGTGTTCTAAATGTCACACACGTGGCAGCACCAGCACAGGAAAGAGTTAAATGATTCAGCGAGCCGGGAGAGCACAGTGCCAGGCAGGAGACTCCCAGGCTGGCAGGGCCATTTTTCCAGGGCCCCGGGGGAGTCTAATATCCCTCCACAAACGTCTGAAGTGTGAGAACAGCAAGGAGGAACAGGAATTTCTTATCCTGGTACCAAATGTACTTCTGGCAATTTTGAGAAGGAACAGAAAGTGAAAAAAACAGTTCCAGCTGATGCCACCCCGACAGAGCTTCCAGTTTCAGCTCTGCACCCCCGCCCCAGGGCTGCTGGCAATTTTGTCTTTTCACTCTCAAACAGTTCTATCCTTTGCACTAACTTTCTTCCAGCAAGTTCAAGGTTTTTTTTTTCCCCTACAGTACTTTTGTCAGAGCTTAAAATGATTTTCAGAAACTTGACTGACTGCACTGCAGGTGGCACAAAAACAGGACACTTCCGGGGAGCAGAAGGTCTCATTTTATACCTGGTCTCGAACTCTCTAGCTTGTAAATACTGGCTCGAAAAGCAAAAACCCCAGAAAACACACTGGCAAAACCAAAGCAGCTTGTATCCCTGGTCGGTCTGTTAGCGGCTCTCGCTCACAATGTCTGTGGGTCGCTTGTCACTATTTTTAAGTTTCTATATTTAGCTTTGCAGGTCCAGGACCTGGCCAGGCTCCAGAGAGGTCTAGGGCATGCATTTCTTGTTCTTCACTCTTTGTCCACCACCCGTGATCGCCACAGAGGTAGACACAGACGAGCTCCTCCCGATTCCTCATTCTGCCCCACGTGCATCAACACCCCCCCCCCCGAGCCCTCCATCATCCCATTCAACGGCACAGCCACAAAACTGCCAGGCAGTTGGCATGGCAGCATGCCACTGGCACAAGGACTCTGGCTGGGATCAGAGGAAACTGTCACATCGCAGCGACACTGGCCCCAAAGACAAGTTTACGCTTAGTTTGTTGTCCGCAACAGGTGCTTCTGTGCCAGGAACCCCTCTCCATTCACCAGATCTCATCTCAGTGCCTGCTCCTCAGGAAATACGCCGGGACTGTCCGGCCCAGAGTCCGTGTCTCAGATATACATTAAGTGGCAAAGACTTCAAGATGTGTGAGAAACCCCCACTCTCCTAATCTCCCCACCCCTGCTCCCACCCTCAAGAGATCCACACGGTGGAAGGAAAGAACCAATTCCTGCAAGTTACCTTCTACCTGCACCCTTTGGTAACTAAATGTGAAAATATAAGTAAAAGAAAAACGTAGAATTTGGAGTGGTACCAAGGAGAGGAATTTGTACTCCTGAGTGGCAGAAAGGCCGGTCATGTTAGTGTTTCTGAAATAGACCTTAGAAGCTCGAGTGAGAGGAGGTCAAAGGGACTGTGAATCCTAGTCAGAATATTCCAGCCTAATTCAAATTTCAGTGCTGAGCATTGAATCTAGGGGCCTCGTGCACGCTAGGCGTATCCCTGCCCCCAGTTGAGTCTGTGTGTGGGGGGGGGAGGGGGTTGCCCGCACGCGTGTCTGCATCATTCATGTGCTTGGTGCTTTCACAGGCCAGAGGCGGGCATCAGGTCCTGGAATTCTGGGTGTTTGTAAACGTCCTCTCCCCCAAGTCTCCAACCCCCTCCACATTTGATTTTTAAAGGATCGAAAATAATTAAAACCCAGGAAAAGAGACCGTTTGCTTTAACATCACCAGTGTTTTAGGAACGAGTTTGGAGTGAAGTGTGTGTTACATGTGTAATGCCTGCACAGGGCAGGAGGATCTCGAGTTAGTGTGCGCGTTACAAGTGTGTGCGTTACATATGTGTATTCCCCACCCAGGGCAGGGGAATCTCAAGTTAGTGTGTGCGTTACAGGTGTGTATTCCCCCGCACAGGGCAGGGGGATCTCGAGTTAGTGTGTGCGTTACAGGTGTGTATTCCCCGCACAGGGCAGGGGGATCTCGAGTTAGAAACCAGTTCTGACCCATACAAGTAAACAAACCAAACCAAGACGACCTGTTTGCCAGTGTCCTGATCTCTGTGTTCCCCTCCCTCCACCGCCTGATAGCTCTAGGCAGTGCAGACTTGTGCTCAATCACATCCACTTGGCTTGGCAGTTTCTGGAGTAAATATCACACCTTATAAAAACAGGCCATCAGAAATGTTTTACTTTGATTTCTGAAGAACTTGCTCATTTGTCTCTCTCCATTGTTAAAGCAAACAGTGACATGAGTTGGCACGAATCACACCTTGCATGTTGTTCTGCTGAGTCAGTCCCCAAGGAGTTTAAGGACTCCCAGCCGTCTGGTTGATTCCCGGTGCTGGTGCCCTGGCCGAAAGCCTGTCCGTGGAGTGCTGAGGACGTGTGTGACTTAGGAGTCAGGCTCCCTGATTCCCTGTGCTGACCACTGATGAAATGCAATTAGGACTGTTGGGGTGCTACATAGGAGAGGGTGGTTGAGATGCAGTTGAGGTCCTGTGGATTTTATTCGCCGTCCTTAGCCTTGCCTCTTACCTTCAGCGTTGGAAGCATCCGGATAGGATTCCTCTGCTCTCACCTAGTTTACTCACACCTGCGCCTGTCCTTTGCTTTACTTCCTGTGGTCTCCCAGCAGGCGCCATTCTTCCCCCTGCCCTTCTGCCGGCACTCCAGTGCCTTCTCCATTTTGCTGTTTTGAAGCGCTACACTCCCCAGCACTGGCTCCAGGTGTTGAATTGCAGTCGTCTTTCCCAGCTTCCGAGCAGAGTGAACCATTCTCCTTCTGTCGCTGCCATCACTACTTCCTTGTTCCTCCACAGCAGACACTCTGCCTGTGTCTTCTCCCGGCCTCTTGGGTCTCTGCCATTTAGGCTGTGCCACCGGATGACCCAGGAAAGCTCATCAGGTCATGCAATGTTTGCCGTCTCTGAACGTGAGACACACCGTGTACCTTCTCTGTAGCTAGCTTTCACTTCCCTCTGTAGACAGGCCTTCATCTCTGTTGGCAGTACCTGTTCTTGTCTTCTCCCCAGGGCTCTGCCTTCACCTCTCCCTGGCAATGTTTACCCAGACTTCAGCTGCTGCAATTGGAAAGTATCACAGAATGACTGTCTAGCCTCAAAACGTCAAGCTCCTGGCCCTTTCGTCCGCGGCCCCTCCAGAGCTTTGTGGGTGTTCCACAGTATCCTTGTCCTGCCGTGGACACTGCGGTCGTCTCCTACTTTCTTTCTGTGAGCAGCTCTAGCATTTTGCACTCAGTCCTGGGGATGTTACTTTAGGAGCAGTCGCAGGAAACTCCCCCATTTCTCTCTCCTTTACCGTCCTGTCTTCACGGTCCCTGAGCCTGCTGGCTGCTTCCGTCCTCCTTAAACCATGATGTCAGTACATGAGAAGGGGATTTTATTAAGTCTAACATCTTTGAGTACTTTTCACTGCCTTCTTTCCCTTCTGTTTGGTCTTACTATTGTGCCCAGTCTGGCCTCTAACACTTGGGCTGTTCCCTGGGGCCCAGGCAATCCTGCCTCAGCCTCCCTGGTAGCTGGGACTGCAGGAATCCAACACTGCTCCTGTCTTCAGCATTAGCTTTCTTTGTGTTTGATAGTGGTGGTTCTGTCTTTTGAAACCTTCTCCCAGAGCCGAGAGGGCAGGCAAGCAGATCTGGCTCTCATTTGCTTTCTCAGAGCTTTTCCTGATCCTCAGCGATGCTGCTGAAGTTCTGTGATCCCCTGTCCTCTGGACTTCACCTGCTGTGTGCCCTGGCCCGTCCTCCAGGTGGTGAGCATTGTGAGGTCAGGTAGCAGTGTCTCTTTTGGGTTCAAGCACAAGTGGAGACTGGCTGAAAACTGAGTGTTTGCTGTGTTGTGCTCAGCACGAAGATTTCCTAACCTAACTTGTTGTTGATCTGAATGATAATCCCTACTTCATGTTTGACTCACTGCCAGTGGGGATGGGTTGAGGATCATGGTATGGGGTGAAATTCTCTATTTAGGACATTTGTCTGGGGACCTGAACTAAATTCACTTAAAAATGAGTTTTAAAAAAGGATTTAGCCCCGCAGTGGCGGCATGTGTGTTTAATCCCAGCTCTCGTGAGGCAGAGGCAGGTGGATCTCTGAGTTCGAGATCAGCTTAGTCTACACAGCTAGTTCCAGGAAGCCCTGTCATGAAAAACAAAAAACAAACAAAAAACCAACCAAACAAAAGATTTATTAGCTTTTAAATTTTGTACACATGAGTGTTTTCTGCTAGGTTTTATTTTGTATTACACTACATGTGTGCAGTGCCCGCACAGCCCTGGAGTGTTTCATTAAACCAGTCCGAGGTCAGATCTCTACAGTGTACAGGGCATTATCACACAGCATGTGGCCTGCTTTGCGGATGTGCTTCATGCTTCTAGTGACGTCAGGCGGTATGTGCCAGTCCACCAAGGTTGTGCAGATCATGGAGAATATGAAAGTAACAATGGAGCAAGGGATCTCGAGTTAGTGTGTGCATTGTATGTGTGAAGTCCCCGCACAGGGCAGAGGGATCTCAGGTTAGAGCGTATGCTACATGTGTGTAATCCCCTCACAGGGCAGGGGGATCTCCCCCCATGCTCTGCCTTCCTGGCAAAGGGTCTTTCAGAACCTCTTTGAACAAAATGAGAAACACTGGGTCTGTAGTTAGTAAGAGAATCTTCAACATGATTACTTAAATCTTGCAGTCTCTGTTTTCCACATCGCCCCACTGTGAGATAGAGGAACTAAAGCCAGCTGTTGGAGATGGCGCCCCACTGAGGAACAACCTCTCTGAAACAGTGTGCTTACATCCAAACACCAATGTTCTCCACATTGAAGTCTTGATTTTGGTGTTTTCATGAGAAACTGGAAGCATATTGAATTCCCAACAAAACAGTAATTGACTCTTACGAGTAGACACCATCTTCTTCTGGAGACCCCCACTGGCAGATGGCTCAGGTGCAGCCGGGCCTCGAGGACTTGGAGACCAAGGAGGGTTCTGCAGTGGTCTTAGGGTTGTGTTGTGGTGGAGGCTGTGTGTGTGGGGTGCGACAGGTGGATCCTTGTCACCAGACTGAACCACCCAGTCGACCCAGGGGATCTGCCTGCTCTCCCTGCCCACTAAGGAACTCAAGATTATTGACTTTCCTGGGAGCATCCCTAAAGATCATGCCAGTGCAGAGACAGACTCGTTCTGTCCACT